CATGCATGATTGCTATTAACTACTGAGCCTTAGGATAAAGTATGTCATTGTTCTGCCCCTAGTACTGTCATTCTCCCAATCAGTCAGGCTTGAAACTTTCCTGTTATGCCTATATGTTGTCGCCATATCATAATTTTTTTCCTTTGAAAAATCTTTCCTGTATCTGTCTCTCTTCTTACTTTGTTATTTAACAGCTTTAACAGGTGCTTGCTTATTTGACTCCTGAAAAATCAAATTGTAAATTTTTATTACAATTTAAAAAGAGGCACTTGAGTATCTCAATTGAAAGCCATATGTAAAACAGTTTTTTAAAAATGTAAGGGCATATTGGGAAAAGTTAGGGTTTTTTTTTTTTAAATTTTTTTATAGACATCTTTTAGTACAGATAAAAGCCCCATGCTGCATTGGGTACCGATATTTCTGGTTATTTGATAGTTTGGCAAAAAGCAAATGCTTAAGACTTCATGTATTCATTTTTTACTGCTGGAATTTCATATTCATTTCTTCTTGTTGGATGAGTAAACTGTATTATGATGAGATAAGTCAGCATATTTCTCAGTCCTGCCCTTCTCAACCTCTTGAGTTTAGTCTTAGCTGGTGGATCAGATGCTTTTGATTCTGCTAACTTGTGGTTTAAGGCTTTCTGGATGTCTGCATTGGGAATTGAAGTCATGGAGGTTCCAGTGTTTCAATGAGGAGACTGCTAATACTGGGTAGTCTCTCCTTGATTTTCTTTATCTTCTCATTGCCAATCACTCTAGACTCTTTGGAGATTAAGGTCCCTATGGAATTGTGAATTATAGCCCTGATAAATATTTTGCCCCACAGGTCTACCTTTTTTTGCATACCTAGTTAGGGTACATTAAGTCACTGTTCCTTGCCCAGAAAGGCTGGAGTACTGTAGTAGATGCCCAGCAGTAGGAATGGTGTTGGTCTTGCCTTTTGGAACATGCACATGCTTTCTCCATTCTCATTATTGTTGTAACTGTTGGTAATTGCATGGAAACCCATCTCTGTACTCATTTCTTTGACAACCTCAACTACAGCTTCTCCATTTCCTGTTGAGGGTTTTTCTTTATGATCATCCGGTATTCAAATACATCTTCCCTGGGCTCAAATATTTCCTTTTTTCCTGTTGATAAAACCATATCAGTGTCTTTATTAAACCCTTTCATTTTCTCTAAAACCTTGGTTGCGATAATCTTCTTGTCCCCAGTGGTGGGTATTACTGTTCTGAGGCTCCCTGGGTGGTGGGGACAAGGGTCAGCCTCACTAATGTGGAGATGGTGATTGATACGGGGCTTGATACCGCAATGATAGCTCCTCCATCCCAGTTTGTGATGGTGACTATGCTTGCCTTAGCAGGGCTGCTTATGCCTCTCTGGGATCCACTCTTCATTTCCACTACCAATTAAACTCATTTTCTTTTTTTTTTTGAGACAGAGTCTCACTGTGTTGCCCGGGCTAGAGTGCCATGGCGTCATCCTAGCTCACAGCAACCTGAAACTCCTGGGCTCAAGGGATCCTTCTGCCTCAGCCTCCCGAGTAGCTGGGACTACAAGCATGTGCCACCATGCCCGGCTAATTTTTTCTATATATCTAGTCGTCTGATTAATTTCTTTCTATTTTTAGTGGAGACGGGGTCTCGCTCTTGCTCAGGCTGGTCTCGAACTCCTGAGCTCAAACAATCCACCCGCCTCGGCCTCCCAGAGTACTAGGATTACAGGCGTGAGCCACCGCGCCCGGCATAAACTCATTTTCTTTTTCATATTCTGTTACAACCATGTAAGTGCACTGCTTGGATGTCTCACTAAGAAAGAACTCCTTCAGTTTCAGGGAGTACAGTCAGCTGATAGCCGCTAGCTGTTGGTACCTCCTGGATTCTTAGCTTTTTGGCTGAGGCCTTGAATTTCCTGCAAAACGCCCAGCCAGTGACAAGAGTATAGCATGGATAATAGGGCATGTCCATTTTGGCCCAGTCTTGCTCTGAAGCTCCCTGCTGGGTTGGCCAAGACTTTGTCAGATCTGCATCAAGGTCTGCTCAGTACTGCTTCTTTCATATCCCCATTTCCTTCATAGGTTTCAGATCTGCATCATAGTCTGAAAGTTTTCCATGCCCAACCATCTTTCCTCCCTCTTTTATCTTTCCCAGTAAACCTGTTGCACACCTAGCTGTCTCAACATCTGCTGCTAAGAGGACCCAAATGACACATACCACTTCTAGTGGTTATTTACCTAATTTCTCTCTAAATCAAATTGACGTTAAGAGTTATCTGATTTCCATTCTTTAAGTCTCTCCATTTTGAATCCTCCTAGTATTTTCTAGCTCATCATTTTCCTCCACCCCAACACATGTTTCTCCTCTAATGTCCACTTATCTCAGTAAATGGTACCATTGTTTACTCACTTGCTTTCACATTTAAGTCCTTGACCCATCTTTTGGGGATTGGGGCGGTTGGAGGTGGTATTGTGTGAGATAGGAATCAGTTTCTTGAAAGGGAAAGTTGCTACTCTAGGTAAAGGATGAGTGAAGCCACAGATAATGAGGGGTTAGGTCGTGTAGGGCTTTGTTGGAGGTCATTAAAAAGCCATTGAAAGGACCTTGGCTTTTACTCTGTATGAGATGGGGAGCCATTGGAAGGTTTTGAGCAAAGAAGTAGTATCTGACTTAGTTTCTACTGGGAATATTTTGGCTGCTCTTGGAGAATTAACAGAAGGGCAGATAGGTTGGAAGCAGAGAGACTAGTTTGGAGAATATCACAGTAATCTAAGGACAAGGCATTGGTAGCTTGAACCAAGGTGATAGTAGTGAATTTGGTAAGAATAGACTCATTATCTGGGAGCAGGCATTGTCATTTTATTTTGTAAAAATTCCCTAGGAATGTCTGGTGCACAATGAGGGTTGAGAATCTATGCTACAGTTTATCGATTTTTACAGGAATGCTGGACTTCAAGCCATATAGACATCTTCATCCACTTAAAATTGAAGGGAGTAGAGAAACATAGTAACTAATAGTAAGTGCTTTTATAGTCTGACCAAGGTTCAGATCCATGCTTTAATATGAAGATACCTACCTTATAGGTATATTTGTTGCTATTAAATGGAACAGTGTAGACTAAATGAGCCAGTATCTGACATATTCACGCTTAAAAAATAGCAGCTTAAAGAAAGATCTGACACATGGATAAAAATTTTAGATTAGTAATGCTCAGTGTTGATGAGGATGTGGAGGAATAGATCTCACTGTTGGTGGGAATGTAAATGGAGGGTAATTTGGAAATAGCTATCAAAAATTTCAATTTCCTTGACCCATTAATTCTGCTTCTAGAAATTTTATTTATGGAAACATTCACATCTATGTTTATATATTCAGTACAACATCTTTTAATGGCAAACAGTTGGAAACAATTAAAATTACTCTTAGTAAAGTTAAATTGTGATACATTCCTTTTATGGAATGATATGTGGTGGTTAAAATTTATAGGTGAGTCTATACATCTGTCATGGAAAAATCACTAGTTTATATTTTAGTTTTTAAACAAAACAGCACCAGTATATCATTTGAGAGTATTTATATCCTCAACATTGGATTTTTTTTTATGAGATTATATTCATTTATAACTTCTGCAAATTTTTGAGCCCATACAGAAAAGGTGATGATTCATAGTAATTTCATACATAATAACACTTTTCAAATTATTACAGTGCCTATATTTTATTTAAGGTTATTGTATGCCTTACTAACATTGTTTTATGTACCGTATATCTGTTTTTAGATATTTAAATAGCTATAAATTACCCTAAAGTAAATTATAGATGCCCCCAAGAATTTCATTTAAGAAATACATATGAAAATTCCATATGTTCAGCATTTTGTTAGGTAATATTAAAGATGCAGATATATAACATAGTTTCTGTCCTTACTAGACCGATAATCAAAAGGATAGGTAAGATGAAAACAGATGAAACAAGTAAAAAAAGTGTTTTTATAAATATTATTCTGTTTGTCTGCTTCTAGGAATTGTCCTAAGGAAATAATCCGAGAAGTACATAGTGACAAATATATAATAGCATTCATTGCAGTGTTTATAATAGTAAAAAACTGCACATATCCTAAGTGACCATCAATAGGTATTAAATAAGTTATTCTAAACATAATGGAATATTCTGTAATAATTACAAATAATTATTTAGATCTGTAGTTATTTAACAGATATATATGATCCACAGTCTATTAAGAGGGGAAAACAAGTTTAATACAGTATACATAATATCTTCTTTCTATAGATGATAAATCTGGAGTAGTCAGGGAAAGTAAGGAAGAGAATAGATTTGGATAGGCAACATATAGAAGAAGCCATTTTAGATTAGCATTTCCCAACCTTTTTGGACTCAGACCTCTCAATTTTAAAATAATTTAATCAATTTGCACAATATTTAATAAAAGTGATTTTTAAGTAAAAAGTGTTTTGTGTCAGTATAGTATTAAAAATTGCTTTGTGAATTTTCGTTCTTTATTCCACGGAGTCATTTTTGGCTCATAGTAAGAAAACTTTCTAATGATTAGACCTATTTAACAGTATAAAATTTAAAGCATTCCATGTCACTGTGTGACCATGTATCATATGTGCTGAAAATAAACTTCTGGTCTCAATCTAATTTCTTGAGTTCCTGGACTTGACAAATGGCAAATTGCTTTATGGCCCTGTGGATAAAGTTCATTCTCCAATCCTGAGAGTCTGTGTACATCCCTTGTAAGGAGAGGTAGTGTCATTAAAAAAAAAAAAATTACTGGCTGGTCCGAAGGTAGTGAGTTATCTCACTTGATTGTTCGCAGTTACAGATTGAACTCCTTGTTCTACTACTTCCCCCCTCCTCACTACTGCACTTGACTAGTCTTAGAAAAAAAAAAAAGTTACAGGTTTTAAAATTGCATTTGACTGTTTAGGAATGCCATAATTAATGGTATTTTAAAAATGTGTATTTTATTCCCACTTAGGCCGAATACATCAAGCAATGGTAACATCTTTAAATGAAGATAATGAAAGTGTAACCGTTGAGTGGATAGAAAATGGAGATACAAAAGGCAAAGAGGTATGACCATTGGGTTAAATTTTATTACTAGCCCTGCAATCAAGATGCTGAATGTAAAACAAAACAAAAGAATATAGTTTTATATTGAGGTCAGGAGTTCGAGACCAGCCTGAGCAAGAGCAAGAGCAAGACCCCGTCTCTACTAAAAATAGAAAAAATTAGCCAGGCTTGGTGCTGTATGCCTGCAGTCCCATCTACTCGGGAGGCTGAGGCAGGAGGATTGCTTGAGCTCAGGAATTTGAGATTGCTGTGAGCCTGGCTAATGCCATGGCACTCTAGCCCAAGCAACAGAGTGAGACTCTGTCTCAAAAAAAAAAAAAAAGAATGTAGTTTTATATACTGCGTGTATTCTTTATCATTACTTGAAAAATTTTCAAATGATTAAAACTTTTCAAAAGAAGGTAGATTCCTCATATATATCTTATGTGATTGCGTGTGTCAAACCTGTTAATTATTAGATGAAAATATACTATTCTTTTAATCTAGCTCATAAAATTTGAAACTTGCTATAAGTTAATTATGTGGTTCTATTGGTCACTGTGTTGTTTGCAGTTCATATAGTCAAGACTATAAAATGCTATTTTAAGAGAAATTCTTTAAATATGTGTATTATATTCTATATAATTTAGTTTGCAAGCACTGCCATTCATTAGGCTGAAATCATTTAGCTGTTATTTACTTTATGTCAATTTATTAGAAAAATAAAAGGTGAATTGTCAAAATGCAGTCTCAAAATAAATGTTTGTGTGTTATAAACAGATTGACCTGGAGAGCATCTTTTCCCTTAACCCTGATCTTGTACCTGATGAAGACATTGAACCCAGTCCAGAAACACCTCCACCTCCAACATCCTCAGCCAAAGTAAACAAAATTGTAAAGGTCAGTGATGAAAATTCACAGCAGGGTGTGTGTGTGTGTTAGGTGTGTATGTTCTGGTTTGAACTTGGTAGGATATCAGAGTATGTTTGAAGTATTGAGATTAATTTGCTTTTTAAAAAAACTTTCATTCTTTCTGCTATCCACATCCATGTGTACACACAAATACTTTTAAGGATTGAGGTTGTCTAATTCACAATTATGACAGTCAATTAAAAAAGATCCTAGAAATTATTTGCCTAATTAGAATTTTTCCTGAGACTAGTAGCTTCTTAGGAGATATGAGTCAAAACCATTTGCTTGTTAGTGTTTGTTGATGAATCCATATGACTTTGACAAAGGAATAATAGCTGTTTATTTATGAATACCAACTCTGGTAGTCTTTTGAAATTAAAATTCTGCTGTTTATGTTTATTATAGAAAGATGGGAAATGATAGCGTGTAATTTACTTCCGTTACCTGTGAAGATAAACCTTAAAACCATGCTGTACTTTCTTAGCAATTTTATCTTTACAGAAGTTAAAGGCACATTATTTTTACTGTTTTTAAAGGTAATTCCTCTTCCTTTCCCTCAGAACCCTTCACTATTAAAAATTTGTATCAAAACACAGCTCTGGCTGGGTGTCGTGGCTAACACTTTTAATCCTAGTACGTTGGGAGGCTGTGGTGGGTGAATCACTTGAGCCCAGGAGTTGGAGCAGATCCTGAGAAACATAGCAAGACCCTGTCTCTACAAAAAATAAGAAACATTAGTCAGGTGTGGTGGTATGTGCCTATAGTCTCAGCTACTTGGGAGGCTGAGATGGGAGGATCCCTTGAGCCCAGGAGTTTGAGGTTGCAGTGATCTAAGATGATAGCACTGCATGGCAACAGACTGGGCAGCAGAGTGAGACCCTGTCTCCAGAAAAATAATTACTCTATTTAAACCAGATAGTACCACAAAGTTGTTGAATCTGTAATTCTTTGTATTCAGTTCAAGAAGCAATTATTGATTTTTTTTTTTCCCCACATAGTGCCAGGTACTATGCTAGAAGAAATACAAAGATGAGTGACATGGCTTTCAGCCTATAAGAAAGTGATTATCTTGCAGGAAAGACATAATAAATGTCCACATATGGTATGATAGAAGCTCAACGATACCAACAGAACAGTCTGTTTTGTAAACTATGCATATGAATATAAAGCAGATTTTCAATTCATATAAATTTAATCACATTGAGAGGCACTGCTTAGAGGTCATTATTACCACTTGTAAATGGACTGTTTTTCATATTCAGCTTCAAAACCTTGGAAGATCTTGATATTAACAGTTTATTCTTCTTGGTATATCATTAGCAACCTTTGCTGTACAAAAATTCCTGGAGAATTTTTTAAAATACTGATTTCTGAGCTCCACTACCAGAGATTTATTTTATCTCGGGAGGCCTTAGCATCAATGTCCTTTTAATAGTATCCATCTGATTGGAATGTGCAGCCAGGGTTGGAGAACAACTGCATTATCTGATATCTTTTTTTGAGGTGAATAAAATGAAATCTTAGTAAATGAATAATACGACCAAAAGTTTGCTGTCTTAAAACTCTAATGAAACCCTTTTAGGATTACTGCCAATACACATTTCGTAGTATTCTGATAGTTTAACCAGGGATTCCAAGCTCTCTAGAAGTAACATTTTATGATTTACCCCCTGATATCTATTTATTACATGGTTTTGGCAGGATAGAATGGTGATTAAAAACACAAATTATAGTGAAGCTGCTTCAGTTTTCTCATCTATGAAATGAGAAGAGCAGTAGTAATAGCCTCATAGGGTTGTTTTAAAGAAAGTCCTTAGAGCAGTACCTGGCTTGTGTTAACTCCTGAATATTTTTAGAGTAGGAAGAGAAAATACCTCATATAAGGGAACTTGAGTATTGATAGCATTAGTAAGTCATTAGAAGATAATAGTTTTTCTTCATTCAGTTTTATATTATTGTATGTATTTTTATTATTGTATTATTTTATGTATGTCTACCTTTGTTTAATTAAAAGAAGCTGAGATTATGATATTATATGAGGAGTAAAGAAAGAAAATATAATAAACATTTTTCCTTTTATAGAATCGACGGACTGTGGCTTCAATTAAGAATGATCCACCTCCAAGAGACAATAGAGGTAAAATAAAAATTCATCTCTCAATTTAGCCTGTTGACTTCTTACTATGTCTCTGAAAAGGTAAATCAAAAGTAAATACTACCCTTGATGATGTTATTCATTTAAACTTTACATGGCTAATTTTAACATTGGTATCGTCTTGATTTCCAAACACAGTATCAATAATATCAAAAAATGATTTTAAAAATATATATGATGAACATGAAACTCCATGAAACATGCAGATTTTATTCATCTAATTTATGCAACAATTTGCAGATTGGAGGAGAGTATTATGAGAAAGGAAGGAATGGGGCAAGAGTCAGTTTATTGGTTGATTTCACAAAGGTAAACTTAATCATCACGACATTTATCATGATTTTCTGGGTAATGGGCTTCCAAAAAGGATCATGGTTAGCTTGGGAGTCAGCTAAAGAAAAGTTGCCCAGGTTCATAAATTGTGTAGTTAACCAAAGGTCTCCCTTCATTTATTTTCAGCCATGAGATGAAAAACATAATTAATTTCTTTTCTGCTATTCAGCAGTTCTAAATTTTCCTTTCTGATAGCCATGTTTTTCTCTGTGGGGTGGTGGAACAGGACAGACAGAATTATTAGAGGAGAGATTAGAAGTAGAGGGAAAGTCCTTCAGTTTAAACACTGTCCTTTGAGTTTGTTAAAATTTATATTTCTTTATAAGAGTTTATATTTATATTTAATTTCATATCCTTTTTTCACCTTTATAATATCCACACTGGGAAATTCTGTGCTGAAGATTAGCGTATTTGTAAAGAGTGGGATTTGGAATATGGTAAGGGTTGAAGGACTTTAAAGTTTTACTTTCTGTATATCTGAATAGTGTGAATTTTTAAAAACGAGAATGCATTTGAAATTTATATTTCATACACATATTTTAGGAGGATTCCTTTGCAGTCTAAAATCTTAAGACATGGAGGGGTTCACATATATATTTTTAAATAATTATTAAAAATCAAGCTTGGCTTTCGTTTTTATGTAAATTATTCAGATTGAATTTTGTAGTTAAAATTACATTTTGAAACCAAGTCTGCACATCTTACATTGAAAACCTCTTTTAGCTTATGTCTGTTTATTGAACAGAATTGATTTATGTGTGTATAAATGAAATACGGTGTGTATAAATAGAAAACTTGGCAATTTACTGAGTAACTTTTAAGTATAAGTTTTTTTGAGATGTCTCTTCCTTTTACCAAAGTTAGCTTTTACTGATTTTCTGTTCTGAATTTAAAATTTTTTTACTTACAGTGGTTGGTTCTGCACGTGCACGGCCTAGTCAACTTCCTGAACAGTCTTCCTCTGCACAACAGAATGGTAGTGTTTCAGATATATCTCCAGTTCAAGCTGCAAAAAAGGAATTTGGACCTCCTTGTATGTAAATTATGTATCAAGGATTCAGTCATTTTGGGCATACATGTATTCTCTCTTGGTCATTCTTATAAGTCCCCAAATGATAATAGTTTCATTGCAAACTTGATTGCAGATTTCTTTTTACCACTGTGGAAAATTTACTATTTTTTTATTAGTTTAGTCTGTTAATTGGGTTTTTAAATGTATATTTTGGATCAAAAATTTTTTTGTGTGAAATTTTAAGTTTTTCAATTGCTTTGAGTTTGAAATTTGTGGCACATGACAATGTAAGATGTTTCAGAAGAAAGTCTTGTGCTTGATCCTTTCAGTTTAAAGATCTGTGATCTAAACCAAGAGATGACATGTATCAATATGTTTGAGTCATTTTTCTGGACTCTCATTTGTATATTGTCCTGTTCCTAGTTTTGATAAAGAAGCTCATAAGTGGAGCTCACATAGTTATTATAGGCATGCTGTGTCACTGTGTACCTTTTTTGTGTATATGTGGTGAAATCATATGTGAAATTTTTGAGTATAAATACAGTATTCTAACAAAGAAAACTGTATATACTACAGCTCATCTTTTTATTTCAGCACGTAGAAAATCTAATTGTGTGAAAGAAGTAGAAAAATTGCAAGAAAAACGAGAAAAAAGGAGACTGCAACAGCAAGAACTTAGAGAAAAAAGAGCCCAGGTTTGTAACATAAACGTATATTTTCTTTATGCACGAACCAAGGATTAGACTGTATGGATGAAAGTGATTGACTTTTGAAAAAATAGTTGAGGGATTCCTTTAAAGAACTTCAAGAATTCCTTAAATTGACACTGAGGAATAATATAGACTCGTATGAAAATAAATTATCATAACATATTTTCATTGTGTTTACTTTTCATGTCTTAGTATGTGTGTTAGCCTCAGAGTTAGCTTCAGAGTTTGTTCCATTATGAATAATAAGCCATTGTGTTACAAAATTGTAATGTATACAGTATGACATTCAAGAGTAATAGGCTTTTGATTTTAAAATGGTAGCAAAACTATTTAATAGCAATGGGAAAATTGCATAGAGGATTGGTCTTTTATTCCTCTACAGGTCTTCACATATTAGAAATTGTGTTATTGTACATATAATTAACTCCTCTAGTGTGCTGATATCTGTTACATTCTCAGAACTTTACTGTAGTAAATCATCAGTATTATTTATTTAATAGTGTGTTAAATGCCCTTAATCATGTTAAACTACCAGTTCAGATGTTGTGTTGTGAAAATATAGACCAAGTATAATATTCAACCTGAATAAATCAGCTTTTATCTGAAAGAGACCTGAGTATGGCTAATTGGGTTTTGAAATAAATAGTACACAAAATAGGTTATCTACTGATATTTAGTACAGATGCCACCTGGTGTTTTCTGTGGGTATTTCAGAATACTTACACAGCTTTGTGATCTCTTAATTCTCATTTCACATTCTGCTTCTCAATTGACATAGTTCGGTTATTTCCTAGGTTAATTGAAAGTAAGTTTCAGTAACAGTTTTGTAATTTAATTACATTCAAAAGAAATCTGAATATGATACATAAAAAAATCTTTCTTAGAATGTTGAATTATTTATTATTCATGGCTAGGAGGGGCTAACTATTTCTATTTGTATCTTAATCTGAATTTTCTCAATTTTGAAGCAGAAAAGTAAATTGCAGTTAGCATTTACTAATGTGAACTTTAAAGATTTTTAAAAATTATCTTGACTCCTGAGTCCTTTAAGTTCTATGTCCTCTCAATTTGGGGCTGTTTTATCATGCCTTAGTTTTTTTAGAGAGTCAACAAAAATAGGAAATGAAGATAAAAAATCCATATTTCTATTAATACTTTGCTGAAAGACTAGATTAAGAAGTTATAAGAAAAATCTGATTAAATGAATTTTTCTAGAATTTCAACTTTTCTAGAGTTCTTTGCCAGTGGTTAAGATTAGCACTATTTCTCTTTTGCTCCATTTTCTAAGATAATTAAGGTATATATTTAACAGATGGATTTTTGAACTCGGTAAAGAGTGGCTTTAATGAGGAGCCTTTAGTTTGGAGTTCACAGAGTGCATGCAGACTAAGAGAATTGTTTATAATATGGAAGTGATTCTGAACATATTATAAAAACTGAATTGTGAAACTATATAATATCTTCAGTTTGAGTTTGGGCTTGGTTCTGACTGATGACACAATCTATTTTGATTTTTAAACCGTATATAACTGTAAATGCAACAAGTATAGCATTATAGCAATTAGAATAAATGGTGAATTTTCTCTGTCTTCTAATAGGATGTTGATGCTACAAACCCAAATTATGAAATTATGTGTATGATCAGAGACTTCAGAGGAAGTTTGGATTATAGACCATTGACAACAGCAGATCCTGTAAGATTCTTTGTAAACCATTACTCTGGAACTTTTTATGTTTAAATAAAAATGTTTTTGATACTGAATTCATATTGCATTTAGCTATATAGTTTTTCCTCTCCTTATGGGTGCTCATTCCCCATGTTTTAAGAAGAAAATCAAGAAACCATGCACATTTATGCTCATTTCCCATAATTTGATATATGAGACTTGTTACCCACAGAGATGTCCTTTTCAAAGCAAAGCTTCCTTGTCTTTGGAAAGGCAGAGCCAGAGTTCAACTGGTGAAAGCAGAAGACACAGTTTCCTTTCTGACTGTCAGTTATACTTCGATCTCAGTTCCAGGCTTATTTTCTCTTTGGCTTGGGCTGTAGATCCCACCATCATTCCAATTTACTGTTAGTAATTTGTTATTTTTAAATAAATTTTATTCTGTCTTTTAACAACAAGTGATGGTTGTTGAAGGCCGCAGTGGACTAGAAATCTAGTACTGGAAAAATA